AATCATCATGGCCCTGTTAGCTTGAGCAAGCAATTTACGTACGGATCTTGCCTAAAATTTCTTCAAATAAAATTTTCCTAGATTATGGTCCTAAATAAAAATAAATGAATCGAAACGTCTATTTTTAAAAAACGAAAAGCGCCTGGTTTCTCGCCTTTCCGAGAACTTTCGTTAGATCACTAAATCGTAAAGATCCTACACAACTGCGGTCCGCTAGATGGGGTCGATTATTTTGGGGAAACCTGTACAACAACCAACTCTTGAAATGGTGTCTCGTATCCCGCTGCTTGATTATTGTCATTAGGTGTTCGAGAGATGGGCGCGGAGTTTCACGTCCTCGCGTCATCATTATGTTTGCGACGCGGCCCTGAGAAAAGATTAGGTTAAAAGTGATCAGCACGCCGAGTAATGGTCTGTTTACGGCAGGTTGTTATGGGTATTCTGGTGGAGTCGCGCTCTGTCCGAGATCCCCGATTTTTTGCCGACCTTCTCGCCGCGCGGCCACGAGGCGCCAATTCCTCGCATTACCAGGTTTCCTGACCGAAAAATCGTTGTGAGGCGCTCCTCCCCTGTTTTTTTACATAGCGTAACCGGTGGGCTTTTTCCCAATGGGATGAGGCTTCATCGGCATTGGAACGACTCACGGCTTCCCCCTCGATTACGTAAGAACGTACCTTCGGTCTGTAGTGTTCCACGGCGACTATCGCTGGGTCGTTCACCTGCATTTTCAAAACAGCCGTTTATACATTTCCAAAGATACTCACAACTAAAAAAGTTTTCGTCAGTTTCTCCCCAAACGCCGGATAGGAAACCCTGGGCCCGTCTCGCATGTAATTAACGACGAAGCTGCCATTGGTCTTTTTGCTAAAACGGGTGATGCTCTTGGTATTTCGTAAGGGTTCCTTTCATAATGTCGACAAACCATAATTTCGAAATTTCATAATGTCAAAATTTCATGTCGATTTTTTACACAGGATTCGAGGGTTTTCCCGGGAAAAATAGCTTCTGTAACTGTCGGCATTATGCAATTTCCACATTACCATGGCAAATCATTTGGTAAAGGTGACTGGCCCCTAAATGGCAAAGAAACTCACTATATGGATACTTTTCCGGCGCTGCAACGGCACCCCGGGTCAAAGTCGCTACCTGGCAGCGCTATGGTTTTTCCAACCTCATAGTGGTTCTAAACCGTACGCCGACGTCATAGAACTTTAGGCGACGACGCTAACTCCTAAAAACAGCTAATTTCTGACTTACCGCGTGCGAATTCCGATGAGTGACCATTAGGCCTTCGCCGGAGGCAACCGTAACCATTAGTGATACCGGAAACCCGGTGTCAGAATAGGGCTGCTCGGCAAGCTGAACCTCAAATCTAGCTCCAAATTTTACGCCTCAATGTATAACATACCTGTTATATCTCGAAAAATAGAAGATCTCGAGCTCGTCACCATTCGAGAAACCGGCCGTCAGCTCGAAAAAGGGACCATCGTAGAAGTGTCGGTGCTCATCTGGCATAAAAGTGTTTTTCAAAACTGATTAGACGAATTCACATTTATCCACCGTATTCCCGGCAAATGCGCATAAGAAAAGGCCGTATAGGATGAGGAGCATGGCGCAAAATATTGAGCATACCAATTTTGTCCCCGATTTTATGCCAGAAATACATATTCAACGTTCAGCGTCCGGGTTTTTATATTATTTTCTGTGGGCTTGTCGTTGATAGCTCTGGTAAAATCGTATTTATTGGCTTCTTGGGTTTAACAGGATTACTATTGCTGATCGAGCGTAAAAATTTGAAGATGCTCATCATCTGCTTGCTCGCGATCGGTCTCATATCGCAAACGGCGGCGATTCGGATCTTTTTCCTCTTGCTCCATCTTGTCCAGGTCGCTTTGGAACTTGATTCTAGACAATTTACATTTACTTGATCGCTCGTTACAGAGCATAAGCCGAATTTTAAGTGGATCTCAAAACTCACTGCACGGCAAGCGGCGTGTTTTCCGAGAACCAGCAACGTCTTTCGCGCCCCTGAAACCCGCGTGGAAAAAATCGAGGGTCTGACCTGAGCACCGCCCGGAACATTCCATGCAATACCAACTTTGGTTTCGCCAACCCCGAATTTGCCTTTGAACTAAATAAATTTTTTATTGTTGGGTTGTCGTTGCATTTTCCCACCGAGAGCCAGTCAGCTTTCAGCTTAACCTGGTTTTGATTGATGCGCTTCTGAAAAAAGACCGGAAAATCCTAGACGAAATCGTATGGGCTCAATGAAAGCATAAAAGGTCTACAACATACCCTTCGCCACGTTTGATCGATGGTCCAGTAGTTGTTGCCGGGGCCAACACTGAATTCGCGTCTTAAAGGGGCTGGAAAGCGCAAGAATAAACGTTTTATACCCCCTAGGTGTCGACTTGACTTTGTAGTCTTTTTATAGTCGTCAAAACCCCTTTTCCGCTTAATATTCCGTTTTTCAATCAAAACACCAACGTTCTGGTGCCAAACTTAAAGCATGCGTGGTACTTCCCAGTCTTGGGCAGCGGGAAAAAACGGCTGGTGCTCATCGGGCAGTCGATGCTCTGAAGACGGTGGGATCGAGGTATTCTTCATTCTCTTCCATCCTCCCGATGAAAATCAAGGTTCTATGGTACTTACATGATATCTGTAACCCATCGTTGCCGTTTGGGCTTTGAAGTCGAACTCGAAGGCTAGCGACAGGTCCCGATCCATTTTTTCTTCGAACGGATAGTTGTGATTGGCGATCCAGAAGCTGCTGAAAAACCAAGTTGTCGGTTTCTTGCTTTTAGCCGAGCTTAAGCCTAAGCCTAGGCCTAAGCTAAGAACACCTAAACTTGCCTTTCCCCATCAAGCGGTGTAATATCCCAAAGACAAACGCTGATCGTCTTATTTACCACCGCCCCTCGGCCGTCGTCACCGTTGTAAAAATGCATCACTTCGTGCAGCGAAAAGTGCTCGTAAAATTGCACTAACAATCGGTAAGGTATCGAAATCTTAGAAGCCGAATTACTCACGAAACGCGGCTCGCGCTCTCCTCTCCTAATGATGTCGGCGATGTAGTCGATGGATGGCCGGGGTGTATCGTACCCGCGGGTCATCATCAGGCTTTCGACGTTTCCCTTCAAGAATTGAAGCAAAGCAGAAGGCTAACAAACCGAGGCGTGATGGTGCTTGACGGCTACAATAGACGCTTGTAAAGTCTAAATCTCGGTCAATGGGATTTTCTCTAAACCCACCACCAAAAACGTGCTTGTCATGGCTTCAGCAGGTACGGGGTACATGATATCAGGATTATGGTAATTCGCGCTTACCAAAAACGCGTCGCCCACGGTCTTGCTAAAGTAGTGTCAGGAGCTATGTGGTCTCGGAAAGTAAGGCGCGCAGTCCGTCGAAAAATATTACTGTATCTTAATTTTCCCGGCATGGCAGCCGCACGTCTTATCCCAAAAGAAGGGGCGGAAGCTGTAGCGCTTGGGTTCCGGCTCGAACGTCTAAATCGGCCATATAATTTTTACAGTACAATTTCTAATCGATTTTCGGCCCTACCGTACATCGGTCGATTTGCTGTGCGTTAGCGTCATCTTTGGCTTATTCCCCGTGGCTAATACCACTATCAAAGGTATAGGAATTCCTTTGCCTATATACGGTTGTTCGGTGAGGCGTACTTCGAACCTGTAAAACACTCTTGGAATCTTTCGTAAGCTAAATTCTAAAGTTTTGAAAGTATTAGAAAGTAATCATGAACCCGCTCTAGCCTAACAAGGGAAGTGCACGACCGGCCCACGAGAAATCGACACGAGACATAGTGGATCTGATAGAATCGGATACGGGGATTCCAAATCTGTAATCAGAATTTGCTAAATAAAACGGAGAAAAAAGTTATCAAGCTTCAAAGTTGGCCAAATCGCCAAAAACCGTACCTTTAAGGGCCCGTAAAAACCGGTGGAACGGAATTGAGGAGAAAAGAATTAGTGCAGCTTGTTCAGCAGAAAAAGCGCTTTCGAATGAGCTGTAATACGTAGCATTTGCAAACAATTCACTGACAAAAGTTTTTTTGGATTCACGGGCAAGGGTATGGGCTGTCAAGTTCATGGAAAGATTTCTGTGAAATCATCGTAAACTTGAAGTAAATAGCTCATTCGAAAGCGCTTTTTCTGCTGAACAAGATGCACTAATGGGTTGTGGCAAATTTCCATTCCCTGGGCCTATACAGGCCCATAAAAGTCCTATTTTGGGCGATTTTGCCAACATTGAAGCTTCATAACTTTTTTCTCCGTTTTATTTAGCAAATTCTGATTACAGATTCGAAATCCCCGTGTCCGATTCTATCAGATCCACTATGACTCGTGTCGATTTCTCGTGGGCCGGTCGTGCACTTCCCTTGTAAGCCCAAGCCCAAGCCCAAACCAAGCCTAAGCCTTAGCTTAAAGCTAAACCTAAGCCTAAGCCTCATCCTAAACCTAAGCCTAAACCCATACCTAAACATAAGAAAAACCTTACGCGTTGGCTTTAGTGAAGAAGAATATTTCGAGTTCATCTCCAACATTGAACCCTCCCGGCAACTCAAAGAATGGTCCCTCATGGAAGTTCCGGCCCTCATCTGAAAACCGATAGCTTTTTAGGGTAAAATTTACATTTATCTACGGTATTCCGGGCAGACACGCCGATAAAAATACTGTAGAGGGATAGCAGCATTGTTTTACAAAGTGGTCTTTCTGCAATGGGCTTCGCTTTATAGTGGGGCTACGTCCTGAATATCAAGAGCGATTCGTCATTTATTAAAAAGAGGCATTGGCACCTTTTTCTTTGCAGTTTTTCTTTCTTTATCTAATCGTGCTTGGGTAGGATTTTTTTAATGGCTTACACTTTTCGGAATTCGTTTCGAAATTTGAAGCCGTGGGTCGCTAAGCGGATGCCGGTAAAAACTTGTAATGACTCGTACTAGTAACTGGTAATTTTTATTAAACGCTGCGTTCCACCATTCATTTATGGTTTAGCATAACAACTTCAAGATCGTCATGTGCGGTTTGATTGCCATCCGTCTGGTACCGTAAACGCCGCTTCAAGGCTCCTTCTCGTTCCAATTTATCATATTCCTCCACCGCTGCATAAAACCGTTTCCTAGAGGTATTTTTTCAATCGAAAACGCCAGTCATAAACTATAAGAAGCGCCCATTTAATCGAAAAATTACATATGTTCCTGCCGACAGTTTGGGGTTTTCCAATATTTCCTCTCGGGACTCTAGAAGCAGTATTGTTTTTAATTTAACCTCGTATATTGCCGTTTTTAAGCTCACTTTCAAGAAGCCGCCCGGTGTTTTCCAGGAGATGGCGACCTTTGTTTGGTCGGGCCCAAATTTTCCGGTAAACTAGATAGAGGTTGTGATCCAAAAATTAGCATACCGACAGCCATGCGGCTTTTAGCCGGATGCCATCTGGCTTCTGGCCGACTGGCGCCTGCAAAACGAAAATCGTCAATTTTGCTAAAAAATAAAAATAAACACCAAAATCAATTACGTTGCCTATCCCATCGGTCCAGAAGGATACTATCCCGTTGTTGGCTCTAAACGAAAATTAGAATTTTACCCGAATTTTCTCGACCTTCTCGTCCCAAATCTAAAGCACAAATGCTCATTCCCCGGACCGGGCATGCTCAAGCGCTGTGTGTTCATGGGATGGTCAATGCTCTGAATGCAACAATATTGGGGAAGAACAAACATGTCGCTCTTTCTCACTCTTTCTCTCTTTCTCTCTCTCTCTCTCACTCTCTCTCTCTCTCTTTCTCTCGTCTCGTACCTGGTGGCGAAATCCCAAAGTGGCGGTCCTCCGCTTAAGGTCGATCTCGAAAGCAAGAGACAAGTCACGATCGTTCCTCTCTATGAACGGGTAGTTGGTGTTAGCGATCCAAAAAGCTGTAAAAAGTTCAAAATCAGCGATTAGTGCAAATTTTAGTTTCCGGATGAAGGTGCCGGCCCATTTTACGCCTAATATCCGAATCCATAAACAGCGTCCGTGAGGCTCTAGGTGCGGAACAACGGCACGGAAAACTGTTTTCAAACGTACACATGCGCAAACACTTTTTACCTTTCCCCATCTAGCGGCGTCATATCCCAAATACAAATGTGGATTGTTTTGTTTTCAACTGGCCCACGATCATCGTCGTTATCGAAAAAATGCATCACCTCGTAAATAGGAAAATGCGGATTGAAGTTTACTGAAATTCAAAGCAACCTTCCAGATTAAAAAATAGGATCTGTGTTTGTGTGCGGCCGTGCCAATTTGCATGCATGTTTTATCAGTATCTCAAGAAGGGGAATAGTTAGGGGTATGTTTGATACGTCATCGGGTGCGTAATGGTCTGATGCTGACTGCCTACCTATTAGGATTGTTAAAATCACCTATTTTTGAGACTACATTGAAGTTTTGTTTAAAAATTGAAGCCTTTTTTATTAGGAATCATTAGCATATGTCGGAAGCAGCGCTAGCCTATACATTGTGAAATTTCGACATTATGAAATTTCGACATTATGAAATTTCGACATTATGAAATTTCGACATTATGAAATTTCGACATTATGAATTTCGACATTATGAGTTTCGACATTATGAATTTCGACATTCTGAAACCAAGCCATTTCTATGAGGTCTTATTCAAATTATTCAAATCGGCTGGATTTGATTTGAACTGGCGGAGCTCAAATCAAATAGATTTGATTTGATTTGCTCGGCTCCAATTCAAATCAAATCGGCTTGATTTGAATAATTTGAATCTTATTCAAATCTGATTTGATTAAGCGCCACTCTATCATAAACAAAGAAAATCTACCTTTAAATGGCTGTGCCTTGACGCTTTCCCAGTCGCGGATTCTCTTCAGAACATGTTCTACAGGCGGGCGTGGCGTGTCCTTGCCGCGGGTCAACATCATAGAAATCGGCTGTTTCTTTGAATAGCGGATTTGAATTGCATTCTCTTAAAAGTTAGCCGACTCTGTGGGCCGAAATTGCTTTTCGCGGAATGTCGTTTATGTATGCTAATAATTAGCTCTCTACAAAGTTTCCATCGGTTTTTTTCCACACACGCTCAAGAAGATTTTTCGATCATGATCTAATCTTAGCGGAAATTTTACGACTTACAATGGTTCCATCGAAATTTGGCTTCTAAAAATCCTTAAAATTCCGAATGACACGACTGCTAATAACTTGGCGCCGTTTGGAAAATGCTGTAACAGCTTACCCCGGCGCGATGGTGCTTCACCCCAACAATGGCCGGGTCGCGGACCTAAATATCTTTTTTTTTAATGCGTGAATCCCTCACCACCAGGTAGGTTGCAATCATATTCTCTTCCGTCGATGTGTAGTGGAAGGGGCCTTTATGGGTATTGAATGAGATCTCGTAGCCGCCGGTAGAAGTGCGCCTAAAAATTTTAGCCACGTCGGTTATAATGATGTTGTGACAGCCGTCCGTATGAACCGATTGTCTATGATAATGTCGAAATTCTAAATCTCGAAATTCATAATGTCGAAATTTCATAGGCTCGAAATTTCGTAAAATCGAAATTTTTGCATAGTATGGGGGCTTCCACAAAAATTGGCTTATGTAAATCTCGACCTTCTGCATTTCGACATTATAAAATTTCGACATTCTGAAAATACCACATTATCAATTTAGCTATTTTGATTTTCGATATTTTGTAAAAACCCGTCTGAACCGAATCTAGCTTGACGGGGAAAGGAGCAAGAGCTTCTATTTTTAAGAGAGTTTGGCTTTGCAAGGTTGTGGACAAATTGAGCCAGGTGGTGCGCGTTTAGGGCGCGATGGGGACATAACTGCGTCTGAACATTTTCCACAGATCCTTTTTCGTTTCGTTTTCCGCGATTTTTAACGTTGTGTTGCAGGTGTTTGATGTAGCTTAGGCTCCGGGCGCCCGAACTTACAGTATCGTGATCATGCCCTCGTAACACCCACAATTGTTGTCCCACCCAAAATAGTCGAGGGGACGCTTTTTCACCTCATTCCACGCTGTCTAAATGGGTTTTTTGGTCAAAATTTCAGTAGTTTTAGCCAAGAACAGAGTAATACGTCTGGTCTTCGCACTTCTAAATTTCAATACTTGCGAATGCGTCTGATTTGCCGGTTTCCCAAGAATTACAGGTACAGTGAGAAAAGGAGAAACCGCATTAAAATTTTGCAAATGCGGTTTTGGTTTATGGAAAACTGATAGATTCGGGTCACTTTCAAATTTTGGAAAACCAGAATTTCGAAATTCATAATGCCGAAATTTCGTACTGTCGAAATTTCATAATGTAAAAAATTAATCATGTCGAAATTGCATAGTGTCGAGATTCGGAATGCTGTGCATAAACGCATATACTCGAAAACACACTGACTCCTATGCAAAAAAAATCGGTATTCTAAATTTCGAAATCATGAGATTTCGATATTTTGATTTTTGACATAACGAAATTTCGAATTCCTGTAATTTCGGCAATATGAATTTCGTCATCTTCGACATTACGCTAGCCAATCGAGCCAGTCAGCATCCACCGTACCTGGTCTGCCTTTCGATGAGTAATTTTTATCAACGGGGGATCATCAGGCATCACCAGCAGCGCAAGCGGTACCGGAAACCCATATGTCTTCGACGGCTCCTCGGCCAACTGTAATTCGAGCCTGACCAATTTTATGTTTCTAGCGTTTTGCTGGATCTTTCTACCCGGGCAGCTTTGTAAAGAAGTAGATCTCCAGCTTCTCCCCTCTGTTGAATCCGCCGGCCAACTCAAAGAAAGGCCCTGGACCCAATGGCTGCTTCCTGTCTAAAAATTAGTTCTTAGCATACGTCTGCTTTGATTGTGAAGAATCTCACAAATCAAAATCTAAAAGGCGAAAACCTCGAAAATTAAAATCCCGAGAATCAGGCCATCGAAAATGAAAATAGCGAATTTTCATATTCTCGAAACTTTCATATGCTTCATGCGGAATCTAGACGTGAAAATTCAGTGTAGATTCAGACTAGGGAAATTTAAAGACCATCAAAGTTTTAGATTCTGAAAATTCGAGATTTTTAAATTCGGGTTTTCGAATTTTCTGGTACGGATTTTGAATGAAAAAGAAACGAAAAACTAAAAAATCTTGAAATTCGAAATTTGATGAGGCATTTTTGCGATTGTCGCGTGTAATAAATTTACATTTGTCGTAATAGTTGCCGGCGAGCACATTTAGGGAAAGGACGCAGAGGCAGAAGAGTAGCATTTTGGGTGGGAAAAATGATGTTTCGCATTCTATCTACGTGTTTTATGCTGCCGACCGCATATTATACAACCAGGGACTTTATTGAAAACGTTATTTTTATCCCACAAATTTATTCTACAATTATTTATGTTATCGATCTAATAATAACTGATTTATTGCCGATCGAGCGTTATAATCTCAAAATTATCATCATTATCATCTTTTTCCTCCCGATCCGTCTCGTAGCGGACGCGTTTTAGGCGCCTCCATTTTTCAGGTGTTCCTCGTTTGTCCATCTCCTCCGACGCTTTTTTCAGCAGAACCCTGGAAATAGTATAATTAACTCAAGCCGGCGTCAAAAATATGTATCGACATTAAAATAAATATGGCAAAGACTTACTGGTGCTCAACCGGGACACTCGGTGTATACCAATACTTTCGTTTGCCATCCACTTTGTAGGATATGCCAACGTATGTCTTTCCGAGCCCAAATTGACCCAGGAACTTAAAAAAGTCATTTGATTTTCTTGAAGAAATTAGCATACCGACAGCCAGGCAGCCTTCAATCTGACACGGCCCTGGGATATGGCTTTCTAAAGGAAAAAATTACATTCTAGGTGTCTTCAATGTAATTTTAGGTTTGTATAGCTGACTAGGCACGAAGTTGGAAAACCTATAACTGGCGTAGGTCTCAACAAGCGCTAGCTAATCGGAAAAGACCTCAGCCACCACTTTGCCAATAAATTACCATTCTAAAGCTAGTTCTCGCAACTCCTTACCTTCCCAAATATCCCATCGGCCATCCAGATGATTTCTCCAACGCCAAATCTGAAGCCCAATTGCCAGAAGATCCTCAAAAAATCCCCACCTCCTCATCCCAAACTGGAAGCACGTCCCGTATTTCCCATTTTTGGATGGCGGGAAGCGTTTTGTGTTCAGCGCGTAGTTGAGGTACTGAATGTTATAATTTGATCAAACCAGACCAACTTGAGTTTTCCGACACAACATCCTACTATATATAAAAAATAGTGTCTGTGTGTTTGTGTGTGTGTGTGCCACTTTGCATGCAACTTCCGTCAGGGTGTCCGGAGGATATCTCGAGAGGGAAAGGGTTTTAAGCAACGTATGGTACGTCATTAGGTGCGTAATGGCGCTGAGATGACTGCACACACATCAGATTTTGCAAATTATGCTATTTTCGACGCTAAAATTAAGTTTTTGTTAGAAAATGGAGCACCCACTTTGTTAGGAATCAATTAGCATATGCCGGAAATGGCGCGAGTCTATATAATGGGCGGAGGGAGAAATTTTCATTTTTTTTTGTCATCGGAATTCGCGAGAGTTATGTAAAATGAAGCATATTATGACGCTAGACGGGGGCCAGGGTTGAAAAGGCGCGAAGCGGCTTTTCAACCCTGGTCACAGTTCTAAATTACCTTATGCCTGAAGCCCATGGTTGCTGTTTGCTTTTTGAGGTCAAACTCGAAAGCAATCGATAACTCTCGATCCAGCCTCTGGTCAAATGGGTATTTGTTGTTGACGATCCAGAAGCTAAAAGTGAACTTCCTTACATCTTTGAAATAGGTATCCCAGTACCTCTCCCCATTAAGAGGCGTTATGTTCCAGAGGCAGATAAAAATAGTGCTATTCGTGACGGGACCACGGTCATCGTCACCGTCGTTGAAATGCATTAGATCATGGATTGGAAAATGTGGGAAGAAGTCGACTGCAATTGACGGCATGGGTTTTTGAATATCAGAATCATGCACGCTTTTAACGTGCATCGATCCTAGCTTACTTTTAAAGGCCCTTCGACGTTCCCATTGTTTGATTTTTCCTAGTAGGTATTCAGGGGTTGGTCGGGGTGTATGGTACCCGCGAGTCATCATCAAGCATTCCGGATTTTTCTAAGAAGAAGAAATTTGAAAATGATTTTGTCCAATGGCTTAAATTTTTGACGCTCTATACTATAGTGAGATTATATCTGAATCAGGATCGAATTTTAATTGGATCAAGATTGGAGTAAAAACTTTGCCTCTCATCGTAGCTTTACGATTTTCATACCCTTGGTCGATGATGGGTCACGGCGACGATCGAAGGTTGGGTAAACTAATAACCGCTTTGAATTCCTCAAAAAAAATATAATCACGGCCAAGAAGGTGCTCGTCATCTCCTCATGCACCGACGGCCAGTCGAAGTCACGGTTCTGGAAGGTGGAGCCGACGCGGAACTTTCCGTTTGAGCTCTTGCTAAATCGTGAAAAATACGCACCACTAATCTCCCTTTCATTAGGGCGTATTCCAATTATATATATCGCCAGAATGCTTTTGGTTCCGGTAAAACCCCCTTACAAGATCGAGATCTTCCCCGCATAACACTCGCACGCCTCGTCCCAGTCGTACCGCGCAAGTGATTGATCCGCGCCCCCATTCCAGTCAGTCTAGAATGAGCGACAAGTTATAATATTAAACATCTCCATCGTTTAATAGATTTCTTACGTCAGTCGAAGTGCGATAATTCAGATGAATCTGCTTCTCCTCGCCCCCGACAAACCGGGCAAGCAGCGGCGTCGGGAATCCCAGGCCGGTATAGGGCTTCTCACTGATCCGCAGCTCAAAACTTATCACGCTTAACTTGGAAATCAGAAATTTGCTCCTTACAGTGACGATTTCGTAAAAATAAATATCTCTAGCTCATCACCAGTGTTGAATCCTCCCTTTAACTCGAAGAATGGGCCCTGGTACAGGACTTGGCGCTCATCTAGAAACGGCATTCAGGTTTTCGGTCATTTAGTTTTACATGGATCCCAGGTGTTGTCGGCAAGGGCAGTAGAGAAAACAGTGCAACTCAAAAATAACAGCATTCCACATAAAATAAAAATTTTCAGCGGTTTGTCTGGGTTATAACTAGGGTGACGACGAATATTAAACAGGTGTGTTTTATTAAAAGTTTTGTATTTATGGACCTGTTTTCGATAATATTATAGTTTTATTAAAGCATTAAGTGATATTATATTGCCTCTCAAGTGGTGCGATTTCAACGTCTTTGTTTTAATCTTGGCGTTGTTCGAGGGTATAGTGAAGCCGCCTTTGCTTTGGAGGACCATCATAGGCATTCGGCCATAGGTTCTTGACGTGACTCGAGATACAGATTCTCAAAAAAGCTTGATTTTTGCTTATCAAGAAAATTTAGCAATTATTGAAAATCCTTCGAGAAAAAGAAAATATATAGCGAGTGGGAGAGTAAGAGGTACATATTTCTGACGTCGTCCAGGTCGACCCTCAACGTCCCGCTTAGAATACCGGCGCCAACGCATCAAAGTTCGTACATCTTTCGTAATTTTGTGAAAGGTGAGAGCATGCAACTGAATTCTCCTTTATTTTGGTGGCCTAGAACCGTCCTCCCGGAAGGGTTTAGGCCGGGAACTACAAAATGACACATAGCATGTCAAAATTGGAGCTATCTACGATTTTAGCCGACCTTCCAAAATCTCGGCGACAGAACTTTGGTCCTAACCTGATAATTATAGAGGCATGGGAAGGAAATGCAAATCATGTCGGCACACATAGGATAACGGGGGGAATAAAATAACGGGGGGCACTCATTATTATGAAATTTGCAATTACTGAGGGATTTTGCGAGTTTTACGGCCATTTGATAGAGCGTCGAAAAATATTCTAAGAGAATTAATTTCAGCCCGAAATAATGTAATTGGAAATTTTTTATTGAATAAACAAAAATTTTCGAGGAAAATCTATGGGCAGCACATAGGATAACGGGGGGAAGTCAAATTTACGAAATTTTCGAAATTTTTGGTATTTTAAAAACGTCCTTCGATAAAGCGTCGAAAACTGCCCTAGGAAAATTAATTTCAGCCCGAAATAATGTAAATTAAATTTTTTATCGAATAAACAAAAATTGATCAAAATCTATGGGCAGCACATAGGATAACGGGGGGGGGAGGCCAAATTTTTGAGATTTTCGATATTTTGAAAACGCGAATCGATAGAACATCAAAAAATATACTAAGAGATTTTTTACAACGCGAAAAAATGTATTATAAAAGCTTTATAGCCTAAAAACTATTTTTGAAAACTATGGGCAGCACATAGGATAACGGGGGGATTTTCGGCATTTTGAATATTTTCGATGTTTTGAAAATGCCATTCGATAGAGGGCCGAAAAATATAGTAAGAGCTTTACTTACAGTCCAAAAAAAGCATATTAAAAAATACTTTTATCATAAAAAAAGTTTGAGTGCCCCCCGTTAACCTATGTGTACCCGCCTTTCTAAGCCGCAGACTTTTGAATTAACATGGTTATCTGCAGGCCTTGACAACGGGCCGGGCCGGGCCTCGGCCCGGCCCGTTAGTGAGTTAGTGAGTTAGTGAGTATAGGTGAGTTAGTACTCATTACCGCGTCCGGACAATTTTTTTATAAGAATTTTTCAGCTGCGGCGCTACTTATTATTGTTTTTAAGACAGTTTTGACTTCGAAGAAACTTATTTTTCCATAACTGGTTTTCATTAGTGCATCAGTTGTCTATAAAATTTTTCGCCTGCGGGCCTTTTCTGTGGTATTTTCCCACAGAAACCATTTTTCTAAAGTGTTGCCTGTTCTGTTTTGCCTGTTCCTGACGCGAATTTTCGGATGTTCCCCTTTCCATTTCCAAATTTTTTCCAATTTCCAAACCCCCCCGAAATTCCGATTCCGCTACGGGCCTGGTTGTGGCCAACCCTGATCAAATACCATCATTCGTTTGTTTATTTCCAAAATCTATCCAAAAACAACATTTATTCAAAGTAGGATTCTAAATAGAAAAACTCTCTCAAGTTAGTGTCGCGCTCAAGTTAGGCCGATTTCTGCTGCTTGGTCTTGTTTTTGGCCGATCGGGTCTCGTGGTCCCCACTGATCATCACCGCCACGCCGGCCAGGATCCCGACGCCAAAACACATCACGCACATGGCTATCGTATCCGGGTCCTGTGTCCAGCTTTTAGGCTGCTTGCCAGTTGTTCGCTAAAATTTGAGATTCAGAGAAGTGCTCAATTTTGCCCGGTAAAAGGCGCTGCAATCCAGGTTTTTGGCTCACCTCGCAATGAACTGTGAGCAATCCGTCATCCAACAGGTGGTCCAGGTAATTTGCCGCAGCGTTCCTGCAAAGACAGAATGTCGGCTTAATCGGTAATTTTTCTGAAAACCCATGCTTTCCGCGGTTAAGGTTCAAGACCAGAATTCTCAGAATGGTACATGAACACTGGCGGGGGTGAGAAAATTTTAGGAAAATTCACATTTTGGTCATTTTAATTCGAAAACAAAAAAAAACGATGTTCAACCCAAACCCTAATTTTCAGTGGGAATTTTTAAAGGTACTTCTTAGAAATGCTAAAAATGTTTTATATGGTTCAAAAAAATGTAAAACACATTCACTATCTATGCAAAAAATCTTGGATCTCTCCGAAAAAGTTTGGTTCAACCCCGCAAATACCCAAGTACCGTCCGAACCATCAAACACACCTGAGCAGCGTAAAATTTGCGTGGTCAACCTCGTAGAACCTTGGTGCGTCGAAGACAAAGTACCGGTCCTCATTTTTCCTCCAAGTCACAAACTCCATGGTAATTTCGTCCGGAACGGCTGGGGCATGGGCAAGCTGCTAAAATGGTACCAACTTTAAAGGGGCTCGGAAGTCAAAATTCGCAGGTTCGCGGATTGAACCTCATAAAACGAAAATTATTGCCCAAGAAGAACCAGAAAAGTGATTTCGTTGCAAAAAAAACGTAAAATATTTGAGTAAAACCGAAACGAGCTCGGGGGCTCATTTTAACCCAAAAATTGTCCCTACCTGCTTGTGCTCGGCGGTGACCTCCAATGTGTCATCTACCTTGAGTTCCGTCGATCGGAATAGCCACACTCGTCTGAAACAAAATTTTATCTAATAACCAGGGTTGAAAAACCGCTTCGCGGCCTTTCAACCCTGGCCCCGTCTAGGATCGATGAAGTTAGTGACTTTGCATAGTTCCTGCCGCAAACCGCTCACCAAAAAATGAAAAGCGCGCCCTCTCTTCCTTTTTATAAACCATTTCCACTTCCGGCGTATGCTAATTGCTTCCTAGCAAAGAGGTTGGCCAAAAACTTTACAAAAACTTAATTTTAATATCGAAAATAGCAATTTTTCAAAACATTGATGTGTGTGCAGTCGATTCGGGACCCTTGGTTACCTATTCACGCTTCTTCCCTACCGAAAAAATGCTTCTCCGAGGCGGTAGGTGCGGAACATCCAAACGGAAGTGAATGCAAATATACACACACACACACACACACACAAACACTATTTTTTTATATATAGTAGGATTACGGACATTGAGAAGCGTATATGCTGTACATTATTAATAAATATAGATCTTTAATAGCATTTTAGACGGTTCTTGGGATGAAAAGCTGTTAAAAAAATTGTTTAAAAAAATGTGAAAAATTCTTGACATTTTGATCGTAAATCTATGAAAGACCAAAAAGTCGAAATTCGCAAAAATGTTTTCAAATTTTGGATCCATAGCAATCAGAAGCGAGTGAAGAATGATATAAAATATATTAGATAGTATTCTGCGATAAAGGAGGTTCGTTTCTTTTGGTAATTTGCTGCTAATTCGCATTAAAGTGCCATTAAACTACAAAAAAAACTTACTTGAAGAGTTGGGCTTTCTCATCGTCGATCTTCATGTAGCCTTGCGTGGGCACGTTCTCGGTGGCTATGTAATGCTCCGATCCGCGATGGATATAGAATAGACGATGGCTGGATATGGTGGCCGCAAACAGTGAAATGATCAGGATTGGCCGCATTCGTCAGGGGGGTTTCAGCTGGGAGGACTGATCGGAAAAGAATCTACCTTTATATATCGTCCCATTTAGCCGCAGGCGACAATTTGTAAATAGCGCACCTGCAGAAGGACACAAGGGTCATGCTGGTCAATTACCCCTCTACATTAAAGAAAAATTCACCTCCCAATTTTGTAAATTCGGTCCACGCTATAGCAGGCGGGGTTGTTGTTCTGTCCAGCACCCATTGGCCTGTTGACGCATTGGTTTTGTGTTCGCTTGCCGCGCAAGGCCCGGGTTCGACCCTTTTTGCTTTTTCATTAAAAGCTGGTGGTTGAAGGTTTCTTGAAATGGTTCAAAGAAAGCGTGTCCCCCCAAAACGGGACAAAACGATAAGAAAGCGGTAAGTTTGCATGGCCTTTTGATGCCGAGCGTTTCCTTAAGAGAGCCAAGAAGTAAACATTTGAAGCTTCGAGAATTTGACCCAATTGTGAAAAACGAAAGCTGCCGACAAAGAATACCGACAAGTTTAGTTCGTTTGCAAAAAGTCCAAATATTTCAGAATTTTTCGTGGAAAATCAATTTTCGGTCTCGCATGAATTATATGTCGTAATGCCCTGCTGGGCGCTCCATTGTTCGATCTACGTTCTTCGATCTCCTAGATCTCCTCTCTACGATCGGTCTTCGATCTGCTCGACCTGGCTCAGTTTTGGCCATTAACAAACCAATAAGGTTTTGCCGCGGATTCCAGAAATGCTACAGAATTTCCAAATTAGTGCATCTTCACGCCCGCAGAGGGACAAAGAAGCAACTTGCGGCTCACGCTGCCGCGCCCGCTGGCCAATTGTCCGGCCAATCGTCAGGAGTCAACGCTAACAGACGTGGCCCAGACTTAGTAGTCCCTTTAAAGAAACGTTCGGCATGAAGAATTTCTGTAAATTTAATGATTTCTCCATGATGTGACCGATTTTGGACCCACGCATTAATCCCTTTAATGTAGAGACTTAAATAATTGCTCAAGTTGACCCCCCTTGCTTCTTTCGGCAGATGCGGCATTTAAACATCGGCGCCTAAGGCTAAATGGAGGCGATATATAACGGGCGGCTTTCGGACGAACCTTCCTTTTTCAACCCAACCTCCCCATAACCAAATAAATGCGGCTAGTCTTGATATCCTCACTACTGGTGGCCACCGTATCGTCCCTACATCTGGTGCACGCCCAGTCGTCGTGGAAACGTTACATAGTCTCAGGCAACGTCTACGCTGAAGTTGACTATGAAAAAGCCAACCTTTTCAAGTGAGTTTTGTTTCCAAGTTTCAAGTTTTGTTTTCAAGTTGTTTATGTTCTGTTCAGATTGATGGAATTTTGCTACTGATCTTTCAAAACTCAAGGTTTTTGCGTGTTAGAGTCCTCGAGACTTTTCATAGGCCGTTTTTTGGTTATAACGTTAATCTATTTTAAGTAGCTCATCAGTTTATTTGAATTGCTTCAGTTTTCGCAAGTTTTGAGTTGGAGGGCTCATTTTAACGGTCAAGATTCTATACTTTCGCGATATTTTTTTTGCAAAACAAATGGAAAGATTAAAATAATCGAACTCGAAAATTGACAATTTTGACTAAAGATTCTGACTTTTAAAAGGCATATCTCGAGTTTAAAGAGAGTCTATCTGTGTGTATTTTTGAGGCAATGCTAAATCCGGATGTATACGAGGTTCCTTAATTAGCCATTTTCCATCCTTGATTCAATACACTCGTTTTAGGCGAGTGTGGTGGGGCCGATCGACCTACCACGAAATTAATAGCCGATGGGAGCCGTCCGCTGAGAATGTTCAGGTAGACAAAAAATATTCGAAACAAATTAGACGCACAATTTTAGAATCTGGTTCATGACGCAAAGGTTAACTTGCCGGAAAACAACATCGTGGAGTTTGTGATTTGGAAGAAAAATGAGGACCGATACTTTGTCTTCGACGCGCCTAGGTTTTACGAGGTCGACCGCGCGAAGTTTACGACGCTCAGGTGCGTTCGATTATTTCAAAAATTATGACCATGAAAGCGCAGGCAAGCTAGCAGGACTTTTCACAGGAATCTATGGCCCTCGACATTTTATCTTTACAGGAGCGCCACGACAAATTTCTTGGAGCACCAGGTGGATGACGGATTGATCACAGTTCATTGCGAGGTGAGAGAACACGCGAGTTGCAAAGAGTTTTGGATAGGAAAATAACGTAGAGAGTATCCCTGCAACATCCCCCAAAAATTTTTTCGAAGTTGCCTGAAAAAGTAAAAAAGCCAAAACCGTTTATGCTAAAGCTTTGTACTGTGAGCAGCTTGAACTGCTAAAAATCGTTGGAATTGCTCAAAATGGCGAAAAATATGTCCCTCCCTCTAATAGAACCATCACCTGCGGTGATTCGAAAAATAACCCCCGGGGTTGTGGTAGAGGAAATACGGCAATCATAATTTTGACGCACAAATTTTAGAGAGCGATCGGGAAGTTGGCTAAGATACCGCAGATACCCATGGATACCGCAGCTCTTTGCGTGATGTGCTTCTGCATCGGGGCGCTGGTCGGCTTGCTGGCGATGGACAGTGCATACCGTGCGTGAGACCCGATCGGCCAAAAACAAGACGAAGGACCAGAAGGCGACTTAAAGATTCTTGCCACTTTTTGTTTTCTGCCTCACTTTCATATCATAAAGACATTTTTCAGAAAATTTTTCGAGAATTTCCAGAAAAAAATTTTTCAATCACTGTATTTGAAAAAAAGCCGGAAATGACAGGACCAGCCGCACCTTTTAACAAAGATCGTCCTTCAGCTCAATCAAAAAGGAACGGTTCGGATCAGCCCTAGGGTTGTTAGCGTTGACTTGCACGCAAGTTTGTTTGCCAGGAAATTTACTTGATCCGGCCAAGTTATTTTGTTTGCAAGTAAACTTGGGATGCAAACTCAACTCGATGGCAAAATAGCTTGCCAAGTTTTGACTCGAATGCTGGCAAGTTTTTTTGGTGGCAAGTCAACTTGCCATGCAAACTCAGTTTGATGGCAAGTTAACTTGCCTGCAAAATAACTTGTCGGAAGTCGCGTGATGTTAATTTATGCAAAATCGAAATTGTAAGCTGAAATAGACAGTATGGCAATTCCCAGACATGGATCCTGGTGGAAAATGCCGACATTGTCCATAAATACCGTGTCTAAAAGACCGAAATGCCGACAGATGCTTTAACAACGCACCGCGAGAAGAAAAACCTCTCAAAAGAAAAAATATTACCGAACGACTACGGAATGTCTGACCATTGGCGAAATAGTGAAAAGGCCGACAATTAGCCAAACTTAAACATCGATAATGTTGTGTCCCTGGTAGATCGAGAAATTTAACAATTTTACCATTTACGACACGTGGATGTGGGATTAATGTGGTTTTCGGTATTCCGGTCTTTTAGACACGGTACTTATGAATACAAAATATACATGTTGTGGATCCTAATAAGGAAGTGGAGCGTCGACAACATGAGAAAATGCAAAGCGAGGAGAACGATAATGAGTACCATGCAAAGCCTAAGCATAACTTTTCCACATTTTTGGCTTCTTAAATGCAAAACTGATGTCTTTTTCTTTTGTCCTTGTTGCCAAGCGTCAATCAGTCAAGCGCGTTAATCTTGGTTTTTTGCAACTTCGGTGACTTTTTCTCTATAGCGGATGGGCGCATCAGGAAGATGACGATCATTCTGAAATCAAGGGTAAAATTACGCCACAGCTGTTTACTATTTACCACAGCTAATTTTTACTATTTATTTTATTTTCCGAAATTCGTTGAATCTCCCTGCACTTACGACATGAACAGCTGTGAAGCGGATTTTCAGATTATTTCAGAGCACGATTGCCACAACCCTATCGAAATTCTATCAAAAACAATAGTAAATGGGATTCACAAGGGAAGGGCAAGTACACGAACTGGAAATTCGAAAAACGCTTGCGGCTACCCCCAGGTTATCGGCTACGGGGAACACGATGGTGTTGCCAGAATTTTCCACCGAGCCCTGTGAAGCGAGATACGGCACTTCCGGAAAAGGTGTCATTTGCATACGCCAAATTAACATTGTACTTGCGGTTTATTGGGGGCTTCTACGTCGCTACCATCAGCAGCAAGTTAGTCAATTGCTAACTGAACAGTTTTTTGAAATACCTACCAGGGTTCGAATCCACTCAGAACTTTTAATTTTTGCTCTTTGCTTTTTGGAGGGCGACCCACCTCAATTTCGGCCGTCATAGATTGAAATTTTTGGGTTCGACTTCGGATTTGGAAGAGAAAGCTTGCTTCAAGAACAATGAAAGCATAGTCAAAAAGGCTCCAAAAATAACATTCAAAAAGCAAAAAATTAAAAGTTCTCAGTGACAGCACCTAAAAGCTTTCAAATAAAGTTCTTTTCGTAACCATCAAGTTATCAGAGAGGGAGAGGACGTGCGGCAAAAGACATAGCGTATTTTTTTACTAACATAACCAAAGTTCCGTTTTAGAATCACTTCAGGATAGAGGTTTTATTAGAGATGTATTAGAGTGATTTGTTTTTTATTTTATTTTGAGCATTTACAGCGGCTTCTAGCAGTTCAAACTGTTCACAATCAGTCAGGAGCGCCGTGCAAAGCTTCACCGGCCTTTTTTACATTTTTAAAGTCTTCAATGAACTGTGAAAATTAAACGCAAAGCAATAGAAGAAAACAGATATTTTTTTATTTCTCGCAAACATGAAATGAAGATCGTGGTTTTATTTTGCTCGCCAGGCGGCAATTAATCAATCGAGTTAGTCTTCGTTTTTCGTAGATTCGGCGGCCTTTTCTCTATAGCGGATGGCCGCATCAGGATGATGACGATAATTCTGAAATCAAGGGCAGATTATACTATAGCCGTCCAGATTTTGATTATTTATTTCATTTATATCTAATTTGGTAATTTAAATCTTCGAGCACTTACGACATGAAAAGTTGTGAAGCGGCATGCACGGTGTGCCAATGATAATTGTAG